TGGACTGATCAAATGAGTTGGTGAGAAGGTTTCTCGTGGCTGTGTGCTATTGGCTGCGTGCCGTTGCCAACCGTGCATGTTGGTGTGTGGAGATTCCACAAAACTCAAGTCTAGGCTCATGAGGAGTTTATCTCAGGATTAGGTTATCCTGAAGAATACATGTTATTGAATAGAGCGGTAAATTAAGAAGTGTACTTGATTTACACGTTTGTGAATAAGTTGTATTTGCTTTTTGGTTATAGCGGATTTGATTTCTGGACTTGGTCCCGAGGAATAGGAAACGAACCACGTGAAAAATTCTCTTGTGTCATCTATTTTCTGTACTACATATTGCCTTACTAGCGTTTACAATGAACACATAGCAAAGACTTGTCCCGGATTAAGAGAAATATGAAATTAAGATCCATAACTCTTCTTGTCGAACTCTTTTGTATTGTAAGGTGTCCTTAACAACTTTGGTTGCAAACTTGCAATATAATTTTAAGAATATAAGTGAATTGTGCAGAAAGTGTAGAAATTTATCCAAGTCGATAAAATTAGACTACAGATCCATGTTTCAATTATATATTAGGAGAAAATAATTATTTTTATTATTATAGAAAGAAAAATAACGTTGACATTGGATGCCATATAAGCAAATCCTAAATCACAAGGAAACACTAGGAACTTGAGCTTATGAAGGAGACATAGCAGAGGATCTGATGTGATGTCTGGAAGATCTTGTCTCCAAAAAAGATCTTGTCTCCAAAATCTTCGTCGTTACTAATCTCAGACACGGAGACCGAGACAGCTGCGTTTTCTACCAGAAAATGAAGTCCAGCCTCCGGCGTTCATGGTCCGAGCTCCTTTCCTCCTGAACGACGGTTGCTCCCTCTTCTTTCGGTCCAACCAACCCGACGTCTGCTCTCTCTACTTCTTCTCTTGAGATGATGTCTTCCACCTTGAGTCGAGCCCTCTGCAGATCGGAGCTCCGCGTCCTCTCTCCTTTGGTTGAAGACGTTCTCAGGGAAGAAAATCTCCTCTCCACCGCCGGAACCACCGGATCCACCGTATCCACCGGATCTAGTTCAAAAGTCACGTTCTGTCTCAGATGTACTCCACCATGGTCTAACTAGCGTGGAGATTTGCTTACATCCAACTCAGTCTTCGGCTTCAACCTTTGCTCCGCCGACTGCATCAACCCCTCCTTTGCCGAGATTTCACTTCAATCTCTATGGGCGAATCCTACCAAATCTTAGCACACCAAATCCGTCGGCCTCCGCATGTGAGTCGACGAGAACCTTTGAAAGAAACTCCTCTCTACCGGCGAGTATGACTTGCAACGGCTTAACGAGAGTGATCGCATCTCGACTCTCTACTATCGGACGTTACCAATTCTTCTCCGGCACACCGGACCATGTCTCCGATTCCTCCATCTCCAAGAGCTTCATCGTCAACCCCTCACCAAACTTACCTAAAATGGGCCAGGCCCATATCATCTTCACTTTGGGCCTTGAGGATCTAAACAAAACCATCGACCCTTTTGTCAGGTCAAATTCCTTCAATCTTCTGTGCAATAATTATCGATTTTACTGTTGGATTTGCTATGTGTTCTTCTGCAGTGAATCAATCTAGACTAGAAACCTCCTCCTTTGCGGAGAGATCAATTTTCTCCTTTGTGGAGAGATCAATTTCATCAACCACCTGCATTACGTAGAGGCTCGTTCCACAATCATCCTTTATGGAGATCGTTTGTAAATAAAGCTCAGCCTTGAAGGCATTAAGAGCTCAAATTCTTGCTCCCTCACCTCTAATGGTAGAAGAACTACAATTAGCCTTGGATCCCAATTATGTCCGAGAGCTAAAGATTGATGCTAAACCGATCATTTGTGAAGCCTCTTTGAAAGTGTTTCCAATTATTATCTATGAGTCTAACCTTTTATCCTACCATTGTCATGTTTTGTATTTCATCTATGTATCAATTTCTATCGTTCTAAGAGCATACTCTCTGGCAAAGAGTTATTGGCTTCTTCATGTTGTAACCGCGAACTAAATTTTTAATACAAGTATGTTGACCAGAAAAAAAAAAATATTGAAGAACAAGACTGAATCCGAAAAACCATTCATAGTTGCAGTTAAACAATCCTGAAATCAGAAGAGCAAAAAGGTGTTTTGATGGTGTTTATACTAAGGTACACTTTGTTTTTGCAATAATTTAGGAATTTTTTGGTATAACCCCTTTCCAAATCTCACTCCAAAATCTCACTCCAAATGCTATTTTAGAGTAAAATCATCTTCACCCAACTCAATATTCAATTTTGAAAGGGTGTAAATCCGTTTTTTTCTCTAAATATGGAGTAATCTCATTTTTCACTCT